TGCATGTGTACACTGTACATATACACACATACATAGATGACTTGCCTAGCATATGACATCCTGAGCTGGACCGTGGATATGGCAAAAAGAAAGAAAAGATAAAGCCAGGTACACTGCCACACACCTGTAATCCTACCACTTGAGAAGCAGAGGTAGGAATTCAAAGTCATATTTAACTACATATAGAGTTTGAAGCTAGCCTGGGCGACATGCAACTCAACATCCTCTACAGTTGTTCTATCATCCAAAGAGATGCTGGATTTCATAACTGTCCCGGGGAGGTGTGTCCTGCTCCATGACTGGGAATGACTGGAGTCCGGAGGGGTCATTAGACAGTTTCAGCTGGTTGTGAGCACCATGTAGGTGCTGGGAATTGAACCCGGGTCCTCTGGAGGAGCAGCCAGTGCTCTTAACTGCTGGGCCATCTCTCCAGCCCCTATATTTCCCGATTTATAACTTTGGCTATGAATTCTAGATGTATACCTAACACTTAAGTAAACACCTTGAAATTCACACATCCAACACTAAATTCTTAATCTTGCTGTTGTTAAATTTGCTCTTTCTTTGACCATTTATATCTCAGTAAGTGACAGCTCTGGCCTTCATCTTCAGGACAAAAATCTTGGAACCAGGGCTAGCCTCTGCAGGCACCAGGCATACTTGTAGTGTACAGACATATGGGTAAAGGACCCACACACATAGAGTAAAATAATAATAGTATATCTTTTTTTCCAAGACAGGGTTTTTCCTGTGTAGCCCTGGCTGTTCTGGAAACTCACTTTGTAGATCAGGCTGGCCTCGAACTCAGAGACCTGCCTGCTGCTGCCTACTGAGTGGTGGGATATATATCTTTTAATTTTAAATTTTGGAATCAACCTTTGGCTTATGGGTTTTACACCTCATGTTAAACTGATCCCTTTTCATGCCTCTGCTGCTACATGGTGGGAGGAGCCACTGTCACCTCTTCCTAGAGAATCTCCACGTTTGTCCCTTCCACTCCACAGTTTGCTTGCCAGTAGCAGTCAAGACCATCATCCTTCTAAAGACGAGGTTGGGTCTGGAGAGATGGCTCAGTGGTTAAGAGCATCTTCCATTCTTGCAGAGGACCTGAGTTCAGTTCCCCGCACCTACTTCAGATAGTTCACAATTGCATTGTAACTCCAACTCCTCTGGCCTCCAAGGACACACCTACAAACACACACAATTTAGAAAGTAAACAAATAAGTATTTCCATGATCAAATCTTTCCAGGGTTTCTCTGTGTAGTCCTGTCTGTCCTGGAAGAACTTGCTTTGTAGACCAGGCTGGCCTCGAACTCAGAGAAATCTGTGTGCCTCTGCCTCCCGAGTGCTAGGAAAGTGCTAGGATATAAAGGTATGCACCACCATCGCTGCCTGGCAAAACTAAAGATCTTTACAGTGGCTTAGGAGGCCTCCTTGAATCTGAGTTCCTTTAGACCACCCGTTTCTTCCCAGTTCTTCAATCTCAATTTTCCCCTGGAGAATTACTCCCCTCACTGGCCTTTCTATCCTTTGGAAATACCAGGCATGTTTCTTTTTCAGGGTCTGTCTTGGAATTTTGTTATTGTTGGTGTAAGGCAGGGTCTCACTATGTATCTCAGGCTAGCCTGGAATTCATCAAGTACGCCAGGCTAGCCTCATAGCCTCGAACTCCCTGAGGTCCATTTGCCTCTGCCTCTCCTGTGTTCAGACTAAAGGCATGGCCTAGAGCTGGTCTTGAATTCTCTCTTTTCAAAATTTATTTGTCAAATTTACTTATTTTTCTTTATAGTATGAATGTTTTGCCTACATGCATGTTGTGCAGGAAACTCATGCCTGTTGGATCCCATGAAAGTAGGGTTGTGAATGGTTGTGAGCCCCCATGGGTGCTAAGGATTGAACCTGGGGCTTCTGCAAGAGCAACAAGGACTTTCACTACTAATCTCCCCAGGCCCCTTATTAGGTGCTGGTTACCTAGAGCTCTCTGTCACTTGTGCCTACAGTTAACGTCCGAGGATTGAAGTAGAAACGCAGCAGCAGCAAAACAGGCTCATTGGAATAGGTATAGGGGGCCAGTGATCCAGTGCGGGGAGGGAACTTCGCTTAGACCTTGGGATCTAGAAAGGGCTTGTAACCAGGGCTCAGAGTTCTTGCATTTGACACACAGGCAGGCAGCAAGCACCACCCTTCCAGCTGGGAATGGGCAGCCCATCCATGGGCCTCTAATGGACAAGGGGGTAAAATTTCCAGGGTGATTTACAAGATTTGGGGCAAACTGCTGAATGTGGGGGCTTCCTTGGCGTCCAGCAGGTTTGTCCACAACATCTCTGGCACCTCTGGGTGGTAGCCTTCGGTACTGCAATGGAAGACCAGTGAGGTGGAGGGAGGCAGCACAGTTGAGCTCACCGCCAAAGGCGCATCCATCCCTCCAGGGCCTATAATTTGGGTTCCCTGGGCTGGCCGCCCCTATCAGCGGCTTAGCAACAGATGAGTCACCCAAGACCCTAGCCAAGGCAAACATCAGGGAAGGGGAGGAGGAGGAGATTCCCGAGTGTAGCCTGGCTTTAGTCACCGCCTCAGTTGCTTGATTCCCCCATCTCCAGAGGCCCCCACTCTTTTATTTGACGTTCCTCCACCCTTCAGGGCTTCGATGATCTTCCCACAGGGTTTCGCTACACTCTTCATCTTCATGAGAGGAAGAGGAGCCTTCTACTTTTCTCATCAAACAGAAGGTGGACCAGGTTGCTCTTATTTCCTCCCTGCCGTGATGGCAGCCCCCTTTTCTTCCCCCTCTTGTCTTGGTCCCAACCCTTGTCAAGGTCTCTCTGGTTCCTGCCCCTCCCCTTTCTTGGAGCTGGCTGCGTGCTTGGGGTATTAGGCAATGGGTGTGCACCCACAGCCCTCTACAGCCCCGCCTGTCCCACCGCCCTCTAGCTGCCTGTGGGTCAGTGCTCAGGCCAGACGGTCGGCAGGAGGGCACCGCAGGCCAGTTCAGGCCACCCACTGCCTGCTATAGCCTCTATCCAAGAGCTAGACTTCAGCAAGGATAGAGAACTGCAAGGGTGAGCTCTTAGACTTGGGACAGTCCAACCTGGGGAGCCCCCAGGTCACTGAGAAGTTGAGCCTCTGGCTGCTAATCTTCCTTCCTCCCGTCAATATTGTTATTATTGGTTTTTAGAGACAGGGTCTCTCTACAGAGACCTGATTGTCCTGGAACTCAATGTGCAGACCAGGCTGACCTTGAACTCACAGAGATCTACCTGCCTCCGCCTTCCAAGTGCTGGGATTAACTATGTGGGCCACCACTCCCCAACTTGCCTTAGCCCCTTAGTTACATCTCACTAAATGCTGGAGCCACACAATGACAGCATCAAAGAGGGGACAAATAGAAACAAGACAAAATAAAATTCAAAGCATAAATGGGACCATGGGCCATGTGGAGAAACACAAATGTCCAAGAGATGCTGATGGAGGAAAGGGTGTGTGAAACGTCCTTCCAGGGGCCTGAGTGAGTCCTAGGCTGACAGGCAGGAAGAAGGATCCTGGGTTCTGGAGTAAGAAGGGAAGATACCAAGATAGTATTTTTCCATCTTGGAAGTCATACGTGATTTGGCCCTCTTCCCCTAAATAAGGAGGTTTAGGAGGTCTTGGACTGCCTTTCCCTACTCCAGAGGTGGTAGAATCAGAAAGAGTACCCTACTGTGGCCCAGGCTGTCTAGCATACTGGCTCAAGCACCCTCCCCTCCCCAAGTACTCATTGAGTAGCCCTGCAGACCTAACCTCCTCTGTACTGTTTAGACACCTATCCAGTGGTGTCCCTTCAGCACAAGACAAGACTTGCAAGAACGCAGACTGGCGCTGGCTGCCCAGCATTGCTGCTTGCCACCACCAATGGAGAGGTGGTTGTGGCTGTGGGTAGTAGCCCTGTGCTTCTGTTTCCTGGGGAGTCGTCCCTGAGTCAATGTGCCTTGGGTGCCATGCTGTGCTTGGGGCTGCGGTCTGGCAGGGGCTGGGGGTGGTTGGGAAGCCTGAGGCCCCTCTCTGGCAAAAATAGTCCGCAGTGGTTAGAGCTAGAAGGGTGAGTCAGGCGGGAGTGCGGTGGCGCCTAACCCCTTCGCTGCCGCCAGAGGTAAGGCATTTATGCCTCTGCCTGTGCGCACCCAGGCAGGCCGGGTTCTTCTCTGGCTGCCCTGGAGTTGGGCTCCGTTTGGGGTCCCAAGGCCTCCCTCAACCCTTATGAAGCAAATGTGCGAGCAAGGAGCAGGAGCATGAATCTGGGTCATCTCAAGCGTTCAATCAGGAGTTCTGGTTAGGCGACCCCTGGAGAGAATGCCTAAGCAGAAGGAAAGCGAAGGGGCGGAGTGGAGATCTTTGGGGCTACCCGAGCCTTTGACCGAGGCCAAATTCTGAGGCCAAAGTTGACCCCTCCCAAGGGGCAGGCGCGTGGCTTCGAGGTGGGCGGGAGCCAAGCCGCACTGTGGCTCCTCACTTGCAAGCTCACAGTGCCCTGGTGCGCACAGGCTCGTGGGCTCTTCAAGACACTGTCAAAAACCCGAAGGTCGCCCAGCTCTGTCCTCAGGTCCTCAGCCTGTTAAAGGGGCTCTCCAGTCACCCACTCTTGGTGGACAAACGGAGGCAAAGAAAAACGATGGAAGATACTGCCATTGGGACCAGATCCTGGCGCCTTAGTCAGGGTCACTGCACTCTCCAGACAGCCTCGGCGACCCCAGAGCAGGTGAGAGGAGCTCCGGCCACTTTCCCCCTGAAGTGGAGCTGATCGTGATCCCGGGCGTCGGGGCAGAGGGTATATGTGTGTGTGTGTGTGTGTGTGTGTGTGTATGTGTGTGTGTGTATGTGTGCGCGCGCGCTTGCGCGCGCTTTTGGGGGGAAAGCAGCTGCGTTCCCCTGGTCAAGGCGGGGGGTGGGGTGCGGGTGGGGTGGGGATGCCTCGGGCTCTGGGAGGGGCCGCAGCTCCGTCAGCTCCAGCAGAACCACCCGTGAGTTAGGTCGAGCCCAGCCAAAGCCCCCGGTGCTTTGTCGCGGGTTCGCTCGCTAGCTGTCTCGATCACTCCCTCCCTTCTACCCTCCCTTCCTCCGGGCGGCCGCGGCAACGCTGGAGAAGCGGCAAAGAGGAGTGGCCCAGCGCTGGAAGAATGCTGCTCTGCCGAGGGGGCCGAATGCGACCCAGTCTCCCCACGGTTTAAGTGGCACAAGTGGAACCCAAGTAACCCAACTGCGAGTGTTGTGGATCCTGCACCTGAACCGCTGGAGGTAATGGGGAGGGAGAGAACAGGGTGTGAAGAGACTAGACAGGCGTGCGGGCAGACAGATAGATAGACAGACAAGCATTCACCCTCAAGAGCACAGACTCCCCGAGAATCGCTAGAGATACCTACAGAATAAAGGAGTGCCTTCGGACTTAAAGGGCAATGGACGCTAGCAAAGGGGTGGGGATTGGGGTGGGACCCATGGGGGACAACACGGGTGGCGCTCTCCAGTGGAAATTTGTAGTTGGGAAATGGGGGTGGATGGGGAAGTGGACTCAACTAGAGGGTTTGCGGAGGGTACCTGGCTTCCCTGTCGCCTTTGCTTCACCTGACCTTTTCCCCTGTTGGGCGTAGAGATCAGAGTGTGGATTAGAGCGCCTGGTCTCAGACCCTTCTAATATAGCTTGTCTGGTAGTGCCAGCACTAGGAGGCGACGCCCCTCCAGGTGGTGGGGAACCCCCTTCTGATCCCTCCCTCTAACCCTGTGAGGGCGGGTAAATCAGTCGTGGGGCCCTCAAAGAGGGAACAGTTGGTGAGGAGGGATCGAGGGTCTGAGAGGAACTGTCTCAAGTCCGCATGTGAGTGTCTCAGGACCCTGCGACGTGTCTGGCTGGGTCGGACTCCAGGGGCCTTCCGAGGGTCCTGAGCTGCTTGGATTCTTCCTCTTTGAAGGGTTCCAGAACCCAGACACTGGAAGTCAAGGGGTGACTATTATTGTTTAGTTTGGGAAAGGGTGAGAAAAGCCAGTGGGGCCACATTGGTGGCTTAGGGAACCGAAATAGAACATCCTTCGGTTCCAGGGAGCCATTCTATTCTTCCCGCAGGCGCTGACAGATTCGCCCACCGGAGCCTCCGGGCTTCGACATGCTGGAGGAGCCCCGGTCTCGGCCTCCGCCCTTGGGCTTCGCGGGTCTCCTGTTCTTGGCTTTGTTCAGTCGGTGAGCATTTTTCCAGTTTTGGGGAAAAGCACCGATCTGGGCTAGAGGGTAGCTGGTGGGCGTGTGACTAGACCACAGACCCCCGAGACGGCTTGTCCCTTGTTCTCAGGGCTCTAAGCAATGAGATTCTGGGCCTAAAACTTCCCGGTGAGCCGCCGCTGACGGCCAACACCGTGTGCTTGACCCTGTCCGGCCTGAGTAAGCGGCAGCTGGGCCTGTGCCTACGCAGCCCCGACGTGACCGCGTCCGCGCTGCAAGGGCTGCACATCGCTGTTCACGAGTGTCAGCACCAGCTGCGCGACCAGCGCTGGAACTGCTCGGCACTGGAGGGCGGCGGCCGGCTGCCGCACCACAGCGCCATCCTCAAGCGCGGTGAGCCTGTCGGGGTGGCTGTCTGTGCTGCCGCCCAGGGGTTGGGGGCAGGCCGAGGCGCGCGGAGGCGGGAAGGGACCGGTTCGCGGCTGCGGGAGGGGCCTCTCCGGGAATTTCCCCAGGAGCCGCGCTCAGCTGGGTCTGGTCACCCGTCTGGGCCTCTGCCTGCCTGCCTTCCACCTGCGTTGCTGGCGAGGCATCTGGGTCTCTGTTCCCCCTACCCTAGGGCCTTCCTTTTCTGCCTCCACCCAGCTCGATCTGGGATCCACCTGTGAACAAGAGATGCCCCCCAACCCAAGAAGCTTCAAACACTCCCTCTACCCCCTATTTTCTCTCCCCTCCCTCTCCACCCAGACAAGCCCAGACGGGTGTCCCCAGAGTCTCAGCGGGGGTGGGGTGACGCCCCCAACCGTTTAAGGGTTAAACCTGCTCCCCTAATTGCTGGGGTTCCCAGGAGCCAAAGCTGGGAACAAAGACCCTGATGGCTTTGAAGCTGGGGAGCAGCCCCCTCCTCTGTGCTGTGGGGGCCCCAGGTGTCCCTCACCTGAACAGGTGAGGAATGGCTGGAGGGGCCTAGAGCAGGTCACTGCTGGCCTGGTCTAGAAGGAAAGGTCTGGGAGGCTCCACTGTCTTTTCCTGTGCTCAACTGGAGTTTCCTCCCTGAGGAGTAAAGATCCAAGGGGCTCAGTCCAGGGTAGGGTAGTGCTTTGGGGACTATGGGGTTAATAGGCAGCTGCCATCTGCTGGGGAATTCCCAAAACGTGTGCAAACAGCTTCACCCTTGGATGGTTGGGGGGATCTTGAGGCTGGCCCTGGAGTCCTAGATTCCCTGGTAAGAGGCGCCTGGCCTCCGACTGACTGTCTTTCATCTTCTCAATACTCCAAAGAGCCCTTGCTTAAAACCTAGTGAGGGACCCTACCTTCTCTGCAGGGCCTGGTGTAGTGGGCGGGGTTGATGCCAAATGGTGAGGATGTCTCTCTAAGCCTGGTAAAGATTGGTCACCCAGAGCCTCCTCCTTGGTGACCCCCAAAACATAACAAAGAGGCCAACCTTTTAAAAGGGCCTTGGGGAAAACCTCCTCCCAGTGTTTTATAAGGTAATAGCAGGTTAGAATAAACATAAAGGGCAGATATAAAACTGGAACCTGGGAAGGGGGTGGGCAGTCCCTGTGTTAGGATTGTTACTGCTGTAGTACATGGTAGCTTGCATAAGACTCATTTAACAAAGTGGGGGGAGAACCCCCAAACTAAAGGTCCCCCTCCACCCCTCACCTCTTGCTTACTTCCCTGCAGGGTTGGGGAATTTCTAAGGCTTTTAGATGTAGAACTCCTGGAACATACCTTCAAAAGTCCTCAGGACTCCCTCCGACCCATTGAAAGCCACTGGCTCTAGGCCAGTGGTTCTCAACCTGTGGGTGACCCCTACAGGGAGGATGCTGGACTCCTTCACAGAGATCACATAGCAGCTATCCTGCATGTCCGCTATTTACATTATGATTCATAACAGTAGAAATTGTGGATATGAAGTAGCAATGAAATAATTTTATAGTCCAGGTCACCACAACACGAGGAGCTGTATTGAAGGGTCCCAGCATTAGGAAGGCTGAGAACCTAGGCTCCTAGGCTCTCTCTTACATTCTCTTCACACCCCAAAATGACAGATTTACAGAGGTTTGGCTTTAGCGATAGCTTGACCCATGGGTCTCTTATTAGAGCGGAGGGAACTGAGACCTGGTGCTATTTCTTGTCTCGGGACATTGTCCCAGATCACTCAGAGGGGAAATGATGGTGTTGGGATTCAATTAGAAATTTCTGACATTGGCTGGCTGGGCAAGGTGGTGAGTCACACCTGTAATCCTAGCACTTGAGAGGCTGAGGTAGGAGGTTTGTCAAGAGTTCAAGGCCAGCTTGGACTACGTGGCAAAACCCTATCTCAGTGTATGAGGATGATGAGGGTGGCTGCTTGTTTTCCCCCACCTGCCTTCTCTCCTCAGCTGCCTGCAAGCCTTCTCTTGACCCTCACACCCATTTCCTCCCCAGGTTTCCGTGAAAGTGCTTTCTCCTTCTCCATGCTGGCTGCCGGGGTCATGCATGCTGTCGCTACAGCCTGCAGCTTGGGCAAGCTGGTGAGCTGTGGCTGCGGCTGGAAGGGCAGTGGTGAGCAGGACCGGCTCCGGGCCAAGCTGCTGCAGCTTCAGGCACTGTCTCGGGGCAAGAGTTTTCCACACTCACAGTCCAGCCCTATCTCGGGCGCAGGGCCCAGCCCTGGCCCCCAGGACACGTGGGAATGGGGCGGCTGTAACCACGACATGGACTTTGGAGAGAAGTTCTCTCGGGATTTCCTGGATTCTAGAGAAGCTCCACGGGACATCCAAGCGAGAATGAGAATCCACAACAACAGGGTGGGGCGCCAGGTGTGTTTGTGTTCTGTAGCTCCTGTACAGTCTTTTGTTTTGAGATGGGGTCTTGCTATCTGGTACAGGCTAGCCTCAGATTCGGAACCCTTAGTCTGAGTGCTGTGATCGTGGGTGTGGCCACCAAACCCAACTTTTCTCAGTCTCTCTCTCCCTCCCTCTCTCCTGAGAGGCCCTATAGAGTAATAGGATGAGGTATGAGGGATGATCACCACTTGTTACTAGCAAGCTTGTCACTAGTAAGTCACCCAAAACATGTTTAGAATCTATAGGAAGCTGCCTGGTGGTACTTATCATATATTAAGGCTGAGGTAGCACATAGTATCTGATTTTATTGTTTTTTAAAATTTATTATGTATGGCAGCCTGGTCTACAGAGCAGGTTCCAAGACTGACTTCATAGCTTCTGAGAAACTCTGTCTTGAAAAACCAACAAAACAAAACAAATTATTTATTTATTTATTTATTTATTTATTTATTATGTATACAATATTCTTTCTACATGTATGCCTGCAGGCCAGAAGAGGGCACCAGACCTCATTACAGATGGTTGTGAGCCACCATGTGGTTGCCGGGAATTGAACTCAGGACCTTTGGAAGAGCAGGCAATGCTCTTAACCACTGAGCCATCTCTCCAGCCCCCAACAAAACAAATTTAATGTGTATGGTTGTTTTGCCTGCGTGTATAGGTCTGTGCACCATTGTGTGCCTAGAGAGGGTATTGGAATCCCTGGAACTGGAGGTATGGACAGTTGTATATCACCATGTGGGTGGTGGGAGTTGAACCCAGATTCTCTGAAAGAGCAGCAGCCAGTGTTCTTAACTATGCAGGCACATCTTCAGTCCCGTGTAGAGTGTACGTGCTTAGTGCTTGGCTCATTGCATAGAAACTGCTCCAGCAGCTACCTTCCCCACACTCCGCTCTTACTGGTGTTTACTCTGGAAAGAGCGCTGGCCTGGGATTTAAGACAACTGGAAGTCATCTCCTTGCTCTGTCACCAGCTAGTGATGAAAGATGAGCAAACCCCTGTGGCTCTACCTTTACAAAATGAGGTCCTTGGGCTGGTGGCTAACTTTCCTGACTGTTTGTCAACTCTTCAGTTAGGTTCCCTCCCTTCTCCTGTGTTCCCTGCTGTGTTCATTCGCCCCGCCCTCCATTTCTTCTCCTCTTGCTGTTCTGATGTTCTAGGTGGTAACCGAAAACCTGAAGCGGAAGTGCAAGTGCCACGGCACCTCAGGCAGCTGTCAATTCAAGACTTGTTGGAGGGCAGCTCCAGAGTTCCGGGCCATCGGCGCAGCATTGAGGGAGCGGTTGGGCAGAGCCATCTTCATCGATACCCACAACCGCAATTCTGGGGCCTTCCAGCCCCGCCTACGTCCCCGTCGCCTCTCAGGAGAGCTAGTCTACTTTGAGAAGTCTCCCGATTTCTGTGAGCGAGATCCTGCCGTGGGCTCACCAGGCACTAGAGGCCGGGCTTGCAACAAGACGAGCAGCCTGTTGGATGGCTGTGGCAGCCTGTGCTGTGGGCGTGGGCACAATGTGCTCCGGCAGACACGGGTGGAGCGCTGCCATTGCCGTTTCCACTGGTGCTGCTACGTGCTGTGTGATGAATGCAAGGTCACAGAATGGGTCAATGTGTGTAAGTGAAGGTGAGCCTCACCTCGGGACTAAGGAAGAACACTGTGTGATGGGTGCTCCTTTTCAGCCCTTTGCTCTGATTTCTGTCCAGGGATAATCATGGTCCCTGGAAGCTCAAAGTATCTACCTGGAAACAGCTTTGGGGGGAATAGGGTCAGGTGAAATCTGCGAGGAGCAGCCTTTTGTAGGGGAAGTGGTCATCATATTCTGTTCTTAAACACCCGAATGGACTAAGATGAAATGTACTGTATTGTTCCCCTCTTCTCAACCTCTGGGGTCTGTCTCTTGGGCCCAGATTTATACTCCTTTAGATAGGGAGGCTATCATTTAGCCTCTCGCCTTCCTTGAAGGATAACACTGGATGTTGTGTGGAGTCGTTAGATCTGTATATAGAAAGAGACCACCTCTTCCTATTTGTGGTCCTCAAACTCCTCCACTACAACCCAGAAGAACCTCCTCTTGTGGGGCCATGGGTGACAATAACGAGAGGCTTCGGTTGAAAAAGGACAGACGACTGTCCTTAGAGGGCTGTCTTGTCAGGCTCATAGGGAATTGTTCTCCTTCCATTCAGTTTGGAGGGTCCCTCCAAAGGGAAGGTTTAGCTATGACCCATGGAAGCTCTTTTTCCTTCTTCAGCAAGAAGGGTGGGGATGGATAATTTATTGTGCTGAGACATATTCTTGGTTCCTGTTTGAAATGAAAATAAATGAAGTTACTGGACTGGTTGCTGGTGGGTGCAGATGGTGATGTCTAGCCACACTTGGGGCAGCAGCCTGTGGTTTTGTTGTGATTTTTATTTTTTCCTATGTGAAGCCTACACTCCTGTACTCAGTGACTTTTTATGTATATCCTGCTGATTTCCAAAAAGGATTTGAAATGATGCTCAGTGACCAGTTCAGACTTTTAGTCTGTAAACCAAGGTGGACTTTGGGGTGGCAAGATTTATAGATCCAAATGTACCCAGCCCCTGCTCAACTCCTGGTACCTGGTATCTCCTTCATCATTACTTAGAACAAAATTTGGCAATGTTTTTTTTTTTTTCCCTGCAAGAGGGCTAGAGGGTAAACATGCTAGGTTATTTATATTGTGGTCTTTAGGCCATCTACTCACCTCGACCATAATTGCTCAGTTCTGCTGTTATAGACCCAAAATAGTTATGGTCAGGGGAATGGACAAAAGCAGACACAGGCTACATGTAAATCGATGGGTATAGCTGTGTTCACTACAGTCACAAACTGGTGTGCCAGACTGCTCCTCTCTGTCATTCGTTGACCCCTCTCTTATATAAGGTCGCATCTGCTCTGGGACTTTCAAGTCTTAAATACCACTTAACAATGAACATGAACGTAGAAGAGCAGGTACAATTGTCTCTAAGTCTGAGCCAGAGAATTTGGGGGTACATGCAAGGCTAATGGGAAAATACGAAAGGGTTGTCTATCTCAAAATGCAAGTTATATATATATAGGTTGCCCTCATTCTCTTGAATACTGGGATTATAGGTGGGCCCTACCAGGCCTAACTAAAATGAGATTTTTTTCTAGCAAATCTAGTATTTTCTGTCATTGAATTATTTGCATATATATTTTTCTTTATTCATTGTTCTTTTGTATTTAATCTGAGTAAAATAATTCCTTTATCTTTATTTTTTCTACATTTATTTGTTGGGTGTGTGCACGCGCATGCGTGTGAGTGCACATGTGAGTGGATGCAGGCATACCATGGCACTCATGTAGAAGTCACAGGATAACTTGCAGAAGCCAGCTGTCTCCTTTAACCAGCTCCAGGGACTGAGTTTAGGTCTTCAGATTTGGTGGCAAGTACTCTTACCTGCTGGGCCATCTTGATGGCCTCTCCTTTATCTTTTCAGATATAACTAGTGAGAATAGAATTTCTTTTTTTTAAATATTTATTTATTATGTATACAATATTCTGTCTGTATGCAGGCCAGAAGAGGGCACCAGACCTCATTACAGATGGTTATGAGCCACCATGTGGTTGCTGGGAATTGAACTCAGGACCTTTGGAAGAGCAGGCAATGTTCTTAACCACTGAGCCATCTCTCCAGCCCCGAGAATAGAATTTCTTCTCCAACAGCTCCAATTCCTAGCCCAATATCTTTGAAAAGAAACATTTGTTTGTTTGTTTTGTTTTGTTTTTGATACAGAGTTTTTTGTGTAGCCCTGGCTGTCCTGGAACTCACGCTGTAAACCAGGCTGGCCTCGAACTCACTGAGAACCACCTGCCTCTGCCTCCCAAGTGCTGGGATTAGAGGCATGTGCCACCACCTGAAAAGAAACATCTTTAAGATGAAATGTGGTGGGGGTGGCTGGAGAGATGGGTCAGCACTTAAGAGCATTGTCTGCTCTTCCAGAGGACGCGGGTTCAGTTCCCAGCACCCACATGGCACCTCACAACTGTCTGCAATTCCAGTTCCAGGGCTTCTGACACTCTCAGTCAGACATACATGCAGGCAAAGCACCAATGCACATAAAATAAGAATAAATAAATCTCAGCCAGGTGGTGGTAGTGCATGCTTTTAATGTGAGCACACAGAAGGGAGAAGCAGGCAGATTTCTGTGAGTTTGAGGCCAGCCTGGTCTACAGAGTGAGTTCCAGGACAGTCAAGGCTACACAGAGAAACCATATCTCAAAAAAACCAAAACCAAAACAAGTAACAAAAAACAATAAATAAATAAATAAATAAATAAATAAATAAATAAATAATTTTTTAAAAAGGCGCAGTGTGGACAAAGGACCTGCAGCACACTTTCGGAACACCTGCCTATTTAGGGGCCACAATATGCTCACAGGAGGGCTGGAGACAGCACCTGCTGCCCTTGCAGAGGACAGGCATTCAGTTCCCAACACCCACGTGGTGGCTCACCACCATCTGTAACTCCAGGGAACCTGGTGCTCTTGTCTGGCCTCTTCAGGCTCCTGTATACGCATGGGAGGCATACATGCAGGCAAAACACTTATACAGAAAATAAAAATAAATATTAAAAAAAACCCTAAAAGATGCTGCCAGGGCATGTAGAAATAATTCTCAATACTTCTCTGGGCAATAGATATATCCGTTGCCCATGATTCTCTTAAGTCAGGCGAGAAAGCGCCAGGGGAACCGGAAGAATTTGAGAAGTGTTGGATCAGGGCAGTGCTCCATGGTGACATTAAACTTTTTATTTTGGGCTGGGCAGTGGTGGCGCACGCCTTCAATCCCAGCACTTGGGAGGCAGAGGCAGGCGGATCTCTGTTTGAGGCTAGTCTGGTCTATAAGAGCTAGTTCCAGGACAGCTAGGACGATTACACAGAGAAACCCCGTCTTGAAAAAAATAAAAAAGTAAAATAAACTTTTTATTTTGGGAGGCTAGGTGTGATGGTGCACCTTTAGTTCCAGTACTCAGGAGGCTGAGGCAGACAGATCTCTGCCTGGTCTTAACAGTGAGTTCCAGAACAGCCAGGGCTCTCTAGAGATACGATGCCTCAAAAACAAAACAAAATAACAACAACAAAATTGTGGGGGAGCTGAAGAGATGGTTCCATGATTAAGAGTACTTGCTGCTCTTGCAGAGGACCTGGGTTTCATTTTCAGCTGCCACATGGCAGCCTTCAACTGTCTGCAACTGCGGATCTAAGGGATCCAACACTCTATTCTGACCTCCATGGGCACTAGGAATATACATGGTACACAGACATACATGTAGGCAAAACACTCACACACAGAAATACGTCTAAAAATTTTAAAAAAATATGTGTATATGTGCACGTATGCGTATCCAGAAGAGAGTCTTGAATTAGCTGGGACCCAAGAATTAGGGTGTTGGGAGCTGCCTGACACGGGTCCTCTGCTGAGCCATCGCTCAGCTCCATGGCAACAGTTTCACAGATGCCAGACACTTGCTCACCTAATGTGTGAATGAGAGGAGAGAGAAGGGACTGAAGTAAGGAAGGGCTTGGATAGACCAAGAATAAGAAGGAGTATCCAGATGGGGTTGCCTTCCACTGGGGAGGGAGCCCTCACTCCCCAGTGTGGCCAGAGCATTCGAACCTCTCCCGTTTCTGTCTTCTGCCGTCCCTTTGGCTCCCTTCCGCTGCTAGCTCTCCCTTTCCTTTCATCACACACTCTGTGGCAAACTTCAGCCCCAAACCACAACCTTGACAAATTCCAACTGGATTCTGTCAGCAAGGCCAACACCCCCTCCCGGCACAGGCACTGGGCTCAGGTCCAGGCCTGGGGTCAGTCAGTGACAGGGTGGGAGTATGCAACCCACAGCGCTGGTGGCTACAATTTCAGCTTTTACTGGGCTCCCGTGGCAGCTGGAGGGAGGAGAGACTGATGAACACTAGGCCAGGCTGTGGGGCCTCCTTTAACCCTGGGTGAGTAGTCTGTCTTCCGGAGAGCGGCAGCAGCTCTAGTCAGCGAGGTAGCACTTCCCTTGCTTGTGCCAGTCAACCCCTCTCATGCTACAGCTGAGTTCTCGTCTCCCTGTCCAGGAGGGTGAAGGACAGATCTGAGAGATTCTCAATCCTATCCATCATCCCCAAATTAAATAAGCTGCCCTCTCTCTCTCTCTCTCTCTCTCTCTCTCTCTCTCTCTCTCTCTCTCTCCATTTTGGTTTGAGTGTTCTGCCTGCATGTATGCCTGCAGGCCAGAAGAGGCATCAGATCTCATTACAGATGGTTGTGAGCCACCATGTGGTTGCTGGGAATTGAACTCAGGACCTCTGGAAGACCAGCCAGTGCTCTTAACCACTGAGCCATCTCTCCAGCCCTCATAGGTGGTTTTTAAACATAAAGCACAGAAAGCCAGCCTACAAACCACAATCCCAGAGAACTTAGACAACAATGAGGACACTAAGAGAGACTCAATAAATATCAATAATAATAAAAAAAAGAACTCACTGGGCAGGACAGCACAGAGCACTACTCCCTCAGAGTCCTCCCCAGTCTAGGGAGATCTTTCTTGCTTTTCCTTAATAAATCTATGTTTACTCTGCTCCAAAAAAAAAAAAAATTCAAAGTTTCTCTAAAATACCTGAAATCTCTATAAAATTCCAAAGTGTGGAGTCCTATAAAATTAAAAAATAAGCTACATGCTTTTGCATACTTCAAAAAGGAAAAATTAGGGCAATTACAAATGAATTCATGCAAAACCAAAGTCTAACACTGTAAAAAGTTCAGTGTTTGATGGCTGGAACCCACTCATGATTCTCTGGGCCCCGAAGGGCTCAGTTTCTCCAGCTCTGTCAGCTTGTCTCCTAGGATCAGGCCACTCCACTCCACAGTTCCTGTCCTTGGCAGTTGTCCCATGATACTGGTACCTCCAAAATGCAGAGGTTTCTGCCGCTATTGGGCTGCTACTGCTCCTTCATCCACAGCTTTTCTTGGGCTCCTTTTAGGGACTCTAACTCTGCCACATGGTGCCTTCAACTTTAATGACTCTTTCAATCCTGGGGCTTCTGCTGCAATGAAGGCACCTTCCCCAATGGTCTCTCAGTGCCAAGTCTTAGCTACTCTCCATTGCTCCTTTATGCCTTCAAGACCAGTAATGGCTGGGAGACTTTTGTTTGTTTTGTTTTTGATTTAGAGACAGGGTTTCTCTGTGTAACGGCCTTAGCTGTTCTGGAACTAGTTCTTGTAGACCAGACTGGCCTCAAATTCATAGAGACCTGCCTACCTCTGCCTCCCGAGTGCTGGGATTAAAGGCGTGCACCGCCACCACCTGGTTTGACTGGGAGACTCTCAAACATTACAAATGCAGTTGACAGTCCACAGATTATTGATCTACAGATTATTGCTGACTTTGAGGGAACACTAGGAGATTTCACCTCAGTGATGTTGTCCTCCTCCTCCTCTTCTTTTTTCTAAGACAGGCGACCTGTCTTTTATGTATTTCTGGCTGTTTTGTAGCTCGTTCTGTAGACCATAATGACCTCACATTCAAAGATCTGCCTGCCTCTGCCTTCTGAGTGCTGGGATTAAGGGTGTGCATCACCACTGGCTACTCTGGTGCAACAGAATCTTTAAGGGACTCTCAAGTTTCTCCCAGTAACTTTACAAGCCATGTCTCTCTCCTCTGCACTACTGCTTCAGCATCATTTTCTAAGTTCCCGCAACAGGCTACTGAGCTCTCAGCGAGCTTTTCCAGCCCAGAGTTCAAAAGCCACCACAATCCTTCCCCCCAAACACACGGTCAGGCCTGTGACGGCAATTATCCCACTCATAGGTTAGGGTCTCTTTGATGTTACAAAACACTATGACCAGAAGCAACTCAAGGAGGAAAGAGTTTCATTTCATTCCAGATTGCAGATTACATCACTGCATTGGATGGCAGGGCAGGAACGCAGGGTAGGAACCTGGAGGCAGGAGCTAAAGCAGAGGCCATGAAGGAGTGCTGCTTATAGGCTTGCT